TGGTTCTGGCAGGACTTCCTTCTACTCCTCAGCACAAGAGTTAAAAAAAAGGAAGTTGGCTGAAAACGGAACGGCTGTCACGAGGAAAAGGAAAACTTTAGAGGAGGGAAGTGTTAAGAGAGAAGCCTCCTTTGATGCTGTGAACTCAGACAAACTCTTCTCGTGCTTTCCCTTCACATCATTCTCACTGCCGAGGCTTTGACTGATCGGTCAGTCGCTTTAAACTATCATGCTCTACGTGGCCAGAGTCAATGTCTCCTCATACGAAGGTTGGTATGATATCTTACAATAAGTAATTTTTCATGCATTTTCCTATGAAAACCAGCAACACGTGTCAATTTCCGATCGTTACATGCAAACGGTATTTTTTTTAATAAACTTCCGTCTTGACAAGAAACATCTCAGTTAGGTTTAGGAAAAGATTGTCGTTTGGGTTCAAATTAGTCTTGTTACTGAAGTGCGCAAGTCACTTGACAATACAATAATAAGTTTGTGTATTATGCATCTATGAATTACGGCATATTACTTTTCGTAGGTTTTGCAACAAATGCTGTACGAGACCAGCCTGCCGGAGTAATGGCAGGAGGACAAGAGGAAGACACAGGACTTTCACCCTGGACACCAGTGTTTGTGTCCCCTACGTAAACCAAAAGAGGGAGTTGACTTATTTAGCAAAGGTACGTATTTTAACGATGATCTTTTTCTTAAACTAACAAAGTCGTTTTGTTGCCTAAACCGAACCAAGTTGCTTCGTATAAAGTTTGACAACAACTTGCAAGCTATCCAATTAGTCGTTTCCCCCAAAATGGAGGCTATCGACCCCAAAGGGTCCTTGAGAGATTTTTAAGGGTTTATAAGAAAATAAGCAACCTGTTTTCCTTCTGCTGGTCTCTCCTCAGCGGATGTTATCCTCACAGCTGAACTTGTTTGACAAAACTTTCAATAAATTCTAAAATAAAATGTGGTACTTAAATAATGGATGAATCTCTTAACAGCCAGGGGTGTGGTCAGTTCGAAAAGGCTGGGTTGAACAAGGCTGGGAGTCAGGATGTACTTAGGTACAGCAGTGCCTTGAGCTAAATGCTAAGATCAGCACGCTAACATGCTCAAAATGACAATCCTAACATGCAGATCTCTACGAGGCTATATGTCTAGCATTGGTCACCATCTTAGTTTAGCTTTTCAGCATGCTAACATTTGCTAATTAGCATTGGACACAAATTACAGATAATGCTGATGAGAATGCAATTATTTTGACATATTCACCAAAACATATTCGGTTTCATCCTCTGCAAACTGAAATGTCTGTACAAAGATTCATGGCTATCCATCCGACAGTTGGTGAGATATTTCTGTCAAAAGTCAATTCATTCCTGTCTTCATAGCTCAATATCACAAATCTTTAGAACACAACATCCTCTGTCCTTAAACCCTCACACCGGTTGAGGTAAAGCTCCCCCCAAAAAACTCTAACGGTCGAAAACCCCAAAAATATATGATATTTAAAAATCTATTTCCAATCTTCATTTCCACAGCATGAAACCCATCAGTAGCCTGAAACAACAAGGTATCATTCATGTCATATTCAACACTATGCTGTTCTCGATTCTTCATTCTCACATCCAGCGGCTTCATTCATCTGCTCCACTTTGCTGTGATTTCATCATATCAGGCTGCTGTTAATGAAACTGGTCACTTCCAGATGTTAAACACCTCACAGAGGAGGGTGCTCCCTCGAGGGGCTCCGAAGTCTTTTCATATGAAACAGTGTTGACTCTGCACTAACAGCAGTAAACTGACAGCAAACAGGAGCAGCTCAGAATATCAACAAATAAACCAGATTTAAAAATAAAAAAACGACATAAAGGCCTGAATCTCTTTTCAGTTGATGTACAGTATAAAAAACTGACCACTACTTTCTTATTCAATAAGGCATGGGCTCCAATATATACGTATCTGAGAGGGTCGACGGTACAAAATTGTTTGGAAATCATTGAGTGAAGCAACAACATTTTGCAAAGAAATTAAATAAAATGTGTGATGAATGAATCAGCTGTAACATTACTGCCACTCATCTTTGATGCAGTTTCCCAAAATCTTTCTGCAAACTTTCTTTCGAAATAGTGCATTTGTGAAGCATTAAATTCCACCTCACATTGAAGAGTGTGGGCCTCAGCTTTGGTGAATGTTGTCCAGAAGTGGCAGCTGGTATATCACCTAAAGTTAATGTTCCTCAACAGGAGACTGGAAGAGCTTCCTCGCCTCCCTGCAGAGAACCACACGCTTCTCTCTGTGTGACTTTGATGATGCTGAGCACTGAAAACGCCCGAAGCCCAATGAATTCAGAATGCGAGCCGCACAATTTGGAGGAAACGCATCAGAATTAACTGCACAATGTGTAGGATTTTCCTAAAAACAAACCCATGTATAGACTCATTCAAAAATAACAGACTCTGACTCTGCCTGTGTATTCTTATTTAGCTGTTTTTGGGAGTGTTTCAGTGTTTCCCATTAATTACCAAGATGGCGGCGGCCTGCCAAAGTGTATTTTGTCCCGCCACTGTTTCATAATAACCCAGAAATATTTTTACACTCCTCAACAAATGGGCTGGCTGCGCAGCAACTGGCTTTAGTTTGTCTGGGAAAGTGAAAGTGTCCATGTCAGCCTCACGGCACCCCGTGCCGTTTACGTGCCGTAAACTTGGCGCGACCGTTAGCCGAGGTGGAAACCGTCCTCAGTGAGCCTCTCTTATTTCCATGTGTTGCGAGTGTGACTTTTTATACAACACATTTACTAGAACATAGTGCAAGATACTCTGTTGCAAGTAAAAGTCCTCCATTCAAAATGCAACTTACTTAAAATATAAATAAAGCATAGCATCAACATACGTATGTAACAGCGGCAGATATATGCAACAGCAGCTCCTAATGACAACTGGCTGACGATTCATCCATTAACGTCCTTGGTGTGATGAAGCAGTTCATCACACATCTAATATGCTCTTTATGAACCTCAGACTGCTGCCTCGCCTGACTCAGCCTCCTAATGAAGTTGAGGAAGTGAGGAGGAAACACAAAGGGGAGGGCTCACTCTGTCATGCTTTCACTCTGCCTCCCTCTCTTCCTCTTATATCTCCCTCATATCGTGTCTCCCACTTTTTAAAAAACGATGTCCCTTCCCAACAATATTTATTCTCTGCGATGATATTTTTCTTTTCCTCTTCACATTCTTTTATCCTTTTTTTCCCCATTTTGTCTATTTTCACAGATTATAACCTGCAGCTGATTCTCACTATGGCTCCAACATAACGGATCACTATCTCGCATGCCAGCAACTAGCATCATAATAAGCAGATCATAATCCTGCTGCAATCTGTGGCTGCAGCCGTTTCTACGTGTACCGTCCTTGATCACCATCTTCCATTATAATGCAACACTGATTTATTATAGATAAAATGGCCTATCCACAATGAAATAGAAAAATAAAATATGTATTTGCAATGTATTTCATGAGTAGCCTAGATGAAACAAAACTGATGTTTCAGCCACCTGCAGAAGGCAGCAATGTGGAGAGGAAGACCACATGCTGCACCGTGTTGTTAGCTGGATTTTAAACACGCATGCACAAACAAATAAACAAACATAACTGGAAACCAACCCTGAATGTATAGAAAATAAAGAGAATTGTTCTGCCATGAGCTAGTAAGTTGCACCAGTTTTAAATTTCACAACAACAGCGACCGAAGTAAAGTTTGAGTGAGTTTCAATACAACAGCTTCCATCTCCAAACGATGCGTGTGCAGCTTTGCACTCGCTCTCTGTTGTAATAATAATAATCTTTCCTTCTTGTTCTTCTGTGTCAGTAAACGCTCATCTGGGGCCTGCTGATGGTGATGAGAATGTGCACTACACTGGCTAATGCAGCCATCAATGCCGTCTGTGCTCGTCTCGGTTAAAAAAAAAGCAGTTTCTCGACACCATCTCCGTCAGCTTCCTTCTCCACTTCCCTCGTTCTTCTCCTCCTCGTGAATATTACAGTACGAGGCTGCAGAGAGCAATATGTACGGAGGCAGATAAGAGTCGAACTGTTTGCATTTGACACTTTGACACAGAAACGACGTCAGCTGACTGCTGGTGACTCAGCTTTCATTCTTTCTGCGTAAGCAGCGTTTACATTTTTAAAAAGCAAGTTTTCTGACCTGACAGGATTATGAAAACCCTTGAAAACCCCAAAATGCGTCACAATAAACAACCAAAGAGGAACGACACGACAGCTTTTCTTGCTTTCTATAAACGTGACAATTTGGAGTTAAAATGTTCGACACATTCGCCCTTTAGCTGGTTGTTCTTCTCTCAAACAGCCTCAAACTAAACAACAGACGCTGTTTTTGTCAAATCTAAGTATTTTATTTGTTTCTCTTTTGCTTTATTGTGACGTATTTCATTAATCTAATGTGCTGGACTATGACATCATCTCTCAGGTCTTCACGAGCTGCCCAAGACACAAACACATCATGTTTTAATGATTATTTTATCTCCTGAATGAATCAATGACGATTTAGCACCTACTGCTTATTATAGGTCTTTGAACCGGCCATTTATCTTCTCCTCCTTCCTTATGAGTCATAAGCTTTTTCACTGTGGATGTTTCAATGCTGCACAACAAAACAGTTGATTTCACCGCATCGAATCCACAGTACGGCTGCAGCTAACAATTAGTTTTGTCTGTAAAAGAGAAAATGACAAAAAAAGGTCTTCCCAGAACCCAAGAAGTCTTCAAATGTCTTGTTTCGTCCAACCAACAGTCCAAAACCCAACGTCATTTACAATGTACAATGATATTTTCTCTTAATTAATCCAATAAATCAATTGATTCCTGAATAATCCACACACACACACACACACACACACACACACACACACACACACACACAGGATTATTCAACAGCACTGAATCACGTTCTCCCCTTCAGTAAAGACTAAACCACACGTCCACGTACCTAAGATGGCAATGACCTCGTCGTCCTGAATGACCTCCAGTGACCCCGACACGACGAAGCACAGGGTGTCAACGCTCTCGCCGGCGTGGAAGATCAGGTCTCCGGGGGCGCAGTGGGTCGTCTGAAACTCCACCGCCAGCGAGCGCAGGCAGCCGTCGCTGGCTAACCGGAACGCAGGATGTTCGTTGAACACCTGAGTGAGAGGGCAGGAAGTTGACATTCATTACCTGTTGTTTAACGTTGTACTGAGGCTGCGGAGACTTGATTACAAAACCGCTTAGCGCTGGTTAGAGACATTTGTTCTTTCCATGAAGAGTACAATGAGATTGAACTTCTGCACAATGTTTGAAATGCTGTGCATCGCTTGAATTTGACAAATTCATAATTGTTTGAACTTTACACTTTATTCACATCCCAATGACTCTTGCTGCTTTGAATTTGTTGAACAAATAAAACAAAACAAAAAGACACAATTTCTGAGTACCCTTTAGATAACAGCTGACCAGCAGCTTTAAACACAGAAACTGGCTTTAAAAGCTCACAAAAAAGACAAGCAAGTAGACCCTGAGTTAAGAGTATTATGTTGCTTTTGTATTTATTAGTTAGTTTAATAGTCTAGTTTGAAATTGAGTGTTCATTGACATGCACTGAACTTTTGTCCACCTCAACAGGCACAGGAGTCATGAAATTAGCTCTTGATATTCAAGATCCACGGAAGATGATCCTTTATGTTTCTTGTAGTTCTCTAGTCTACTATAAGACCATCTACTATTCGACCAAAGCTTTAGCTGTGTGCAAAGAATACTTGCTAACCACATTCATGCTATCCAGAGGATGAACCCTTTTTGATTTATGTAACCCCAAAACATCCTTTCACCTGACAAAACTCATGTTTACAATGTTTACTGAGGTAATACATCAAGAGAGAAGTAGAGTCATTTTCTCATAGACTTCTATACAACCAGAGGAGTCGCCCCCTGGTGGACACTAGAGAGAATGCACATTTTTAAGTTCGGCAGAACCGGAGGTTGCCGCCTGTTTCCAGCCATGGCTACAGTTTGTTTACATCGAGCTCTCAGTAAATTGATTTTTATTCAACACGTTTGGATTGCTAGTGAAAGGTACACTGCAGCCTCCTCTCAGGACTTTAGAGGCAACATACAGGTCTTCCTCTTAATAATCTACATTTTCTTTCCATCTGCTGAAATCCAATCTGTGCAAAATGAAACACAGCTTCCACACAGTGAGAGAATCCATCGCAGTAACAGTGGAGGCGTCATCTGGTTCACGGAGAAATCGCCTGAAGCTCTCGGGAAATAATCCGTCACATGCAACCACGTCGCCTTACAAACCTCACTGTCTTCATTTGGGATCTTTGTTTATGTGACTGAAGTGTTTCAAGTTTCCCAAGAAAATCCCCCAAATCCTCTAACGTGACATTGTTAAACTGCAGACACTTTGTGTAAGAACCTGGATGGTTTCTGATGCTTTACATCAAAAAGAGAAACAAAGATATTTTGCATTTCATGTTTTCAGTCATCAAGTCTCACATCTTCAACCAGCAACCACATTTCATCTGGAGAAAAAGAGAAAACCAGCCAAAGACTCTTTTATCTTTACTGACCTGTTAGCATTTCATTAGCATTCTTTTTTTATTAAATCATTATTTAAGAAATTAGTTATCAAACTTTATCAGACTAACTTATACAAAGTTAAATGGCTGCTTAAGGAGCACCATGTTTGCATTCATTTTTACTACATTTTCTCTCACTTTTTATTACAAAGTATTTTCTGATGTGTGTTGTTTTCCCCAGCTCATTCATGGTCCACATGTGGGGGACATTCATGGTCCACATGTGGGGGACATTCATGGTCCACATGTGGGGGACATTCATGGTACACATGTGGGGGACATTCATGGTMCACATGTGGGGGACATTCATGGTACACATGTGGGGGACATTCATGGTACACATGTGGGGGACGGGGCCTCTTTGAAACAGAAAACCAGGACTTTTGGAATGTAAGGACAAAAGAAATCTGGTTCAAACTCATCTGCTTCTTTTGAAAGATCCACCTGTTTCTGTTCAAATGTTTGGTAATCAACAAAGGATTTCTGTCTATAAATGTAATTTTAAAAACTATGAAAAGAGTTCTGATTGAAATGCCGTGGTTCTCTTTAACTTGTACTTTCACTGAATAAATAACGATATTAGAGGCACCGTACGAGGCATTCTGAGTCATTGGAGATGGTTTTTACACAGAACAGTTACACAACCGAATGTGTCCTTTGTTCAAAGCCAGTTCAGCAGATTGAGTCTACCAAAGTTTTGAGACCCATATGAGTCGAGTGAGCGTCTAACCTGCATTTAGTTATGTCATGAATGCACAAAGGAACTGATACTCCAGAAAATTAATAACCTGTTCGTCTGAAAAAGGTTTAATGTGGGTTTTGAGGTCAATTCAGATGTTTGGAAAATGTAACTGCAACCATTAGACTTTCTGTCTGAATAGTAACCAATAGTGTTATAAAGGTAAGCAACATATCCTTCATACAACTGCTGTATGATATTTTACAAGAAGCTATTGCTCAATTTCTGGTGCATTTTCATCAACTCGTGTCAATTTTCAGTCTGCACTCGTACTTTGCACAGGCTATTCAAAATATGTCAGTAAGAATAATGAAAGTTTAAAGTTTTTGGGCATTTTATACAGTCTCAGTTTTTATTTAAACTATATTGAAAGTCATAATTTTCAAATTTGTCTGCAAACAAAAACTTTCATCGGGAGTCTAAAATCAATGTCTACACATAAAAGTAGTGGCTTTAAAAGTATTTACATGCATCAAACTGAGCTGACTGCATTATTACGCCCTACTTTTCAAACAGACAAGACACAGAACTCACGCTATCCGTCTCTATACAGTGAAGCGCTGTGTCTTTAAGGAAACCATAGATACGAACCTTCCTGTTGAGGTGGACACAGATGTCGGCGCGCATGTCTTTGGGACAGATGGATAAGACCTGGAAGACAGAGAGACAGAAGTCTTTGATGGAGGTCTGTTGGTGGCGAGATGAAGAAGCTTTAGCAGGTAATGAGGAGTTTTATACTCTTAAACTTCCAAATGAGGAATCGTCTCCCTCCTCATTCCCCATCCAGCTGTGCTGCATTCAGTAACTCCCTCTGGATACCAGTTTGTGCCCGAAAAAAGCCTGTTGTCTGTAAATTGTAAATCGCTTTGTCCAGCTCATTACACAAATCCAGAGATCCAGCCTAATTAACTGTGAAATTTAGGCAAGACACAAAAAAACAAAATATTATCCCGTCTTTCCCAATCCCGCCTAATTAAATACAAACAAAACCGAACCAAGGGGAGGACAATAAAACATCTGAAAGCCTCTGCAGCATCAAAACACAACACTCTTTGAAAATGGCCTCTGCTCCATTTAAAGTGGAGGATATTAGTCGCACCGAGATGCTTTTCAGAGCCTCCGGTCTTCTTTTGGGTGTGTACTCGCATAAACAGCTGACTGTGTATAATGCAACGGCTCCCAAAGTGACGAGATATATCCACTAATTGGGCCCAGCTCTGGCTGCGAGGTATTTATACAGAGGGCAGTCTCGGCTTATGTCTCTTTAAGAGTGTATAATAATCCCAAGAAAAACTTGGAAAATGGATATTGATGGGGGAGGAGGAGGCGCTTATGATCTAAAAGGAGAGAGACAGAGAGCATGAAAGTCAACTGGAGAATGCTGAGAAAAACCAATTAGATGGAGAAATAGTCCTTTCAAAGAGGAGATTTTATGACGTAATAAATTAAGTTTCGCGCCTTTGTGTTGGACAATAAAATCTAAGAGCATCACAAACCTCCTCTCAGCCATCAAAGGTCACGGCGTGATGATTGGCCGGGTCCCAATTCCACAAAGAACAACTTGAAGTCTGTTTCCAAAGTTAATTTAAATGTCTTTGCCAAACGACAGACTCAACTTTACAGACGTATAAAAATGTATGTTCAATTACAATAACCAATGTTCAACACAGTTGTTACAAATCACTGCAGGTAATATTACAACTGTCTGATAAGTAGAACACTGTCTAGCTAGCAAACAAACAATGCAGAGGAATGCAGAGCAGCCGGAAGTTAACTGCATGATTATCAACTGTAATTAATTCATTACATGCAAGTTATCAGCAGCAGTAGAGCTTTGGAGCACTGACGTGTTCTGAAACACAGCCACCAGTCACACTAATCAGTTCTTTATTAACGTAACATCTTTTTATAATATAATATAATTTGAGGATGTGAATCGTGTGTTCAGAACTGCAGGTGTGATGTCATCGTGGTGCAGAGGGTCAAAGGTGACGACTCAGCGAGTGTTTGGGTGAATTAGGTCACAGCAGCGTGTGACCGGTGGCTGCCTTCGAGGCACTCTGTGGTTATTTCCTTCTTCACGTCTCTTGTTTTGTTTTGCTATGTTTGAGATTTCTTTTTCTGTCTTTACACGGCTATCTAGTATAAGTGAGCTGTAACATTACACAAAACAAATGTAACGTTAGTGCACATCCTCCATGTAGATTCTGCATCCTCACATTTGACTTGATGTTTTTGCAATCAAAAAAACTACTAAAGTGGACAGTACAATAAATAACTATAATAAATAAGTAAACTGTAGAAAACAAACAAAAGCTAAAACAGGATTTAACCGGACTGAATGGTCTGGTTCACATTACTCCACATATATGAAGTGTTGACGTTAGTACAAAATCAGATCACTGCAATCACAAGACGTGACTGTCGTGATATTTTTGATGATGAACAAAACGTCTGGAGTCTCACCTTCTCCGTGTCGATGCCTTTGGACATGGACCAGGTGGAGACGATGTAGTCCATGACCCGCTCGCTGAGCCCCTTGGGGACCTGGTAGAGCTTCAGGAAGTCCCGGACGTTGTTGAGCATCTCGTGGTAGCGGTTGGTGTTGGCGTACATCTGCTGGAAGATGGTGGTCACGTTTCCAAAGATGGTGGCGTAGAGCAGAGCTGGAGAGGGATGGAAACACACACACGAGTCGTTTTTCTTTCCACATTTGATCACTTATCCCTTCGGTTCAAACCTTCTTCTCACTTCTTTGTTTTCGTTGCCCTCATTAAAGCCTTTTATTAACCTAAATATTTCTCTCTTTTCCACTCTCACACACCCAAAGGCCCCATGTTCTATAATTGTCAGTTTGCTTCTATTTTTTTTACTTTTTCATCATTGTGAAACATAAATCTGTTAAAGCACTTAATGAATACAAATCTGCCCAATGTGATCCGTAGTGCAGTCAGATAACTCAGCTCCTGAAGGTCTTTCATGCTGATAGAAGTTATAAAGCCATCACAAGCTGGAGGAACCAAAGCAACCAATCACACGAGTGGTTAGGTCCTATATCTACGCGGGCTGTACCGAACAGGTCAGTGCCGCCGCCCTTTGTGTGCAGCAACGGAGAGAACAAACATCTCTTTTACCTCAGTGTTGTTTGTGAAAGAAAAACACCAACAAACATGGATTGAAGCGAAGATTTTTTTGAAGTTTTGGACTTTACAACGCTCCTTCACAGTCGTATGGAGTATAATACTATGAATAGTTCAATACAGGGTGCAAGGTTCAGCCTCTCCAAACACACAGATCCAAATTCAAACGTCACTGTTATGAATGATGCTTCGAAGCTTCCACCGAATACACATTTTTGTATTTGGAAAATGACCCTGCAATAAGTCACACGGGACATGAACAGAGGTCTGCTGGGTGAAAGTCCTTTTTTACCCGTCCTTCCACCCCGACTTGGTGGTTCTTTAAACGACGTCACCCGACTTCGTTAGCGGCAGCGCTGCACGTAGGAAGAAGATGATTGTCTTCTAGATGACGAGCTCTACTAATGGCGGCTTCCACTGTTAAAGAGATGTTCAAGTGGAGGAACAGATCTTTCCAATTTAAAGCAATTGTGACGATCCGTCAGCCTCCTCTGTTCCCTGCAGCTGCTGTACTCTTCTGTTTCCATAGAGACCTCACCTCCAAATAGTTTTTTTTAACCTCCACTGCCTCCTTCCAGTAAATACAAATGACAGGAGGAGAAGAAATAATAGGGTAGAAAAATGGGAATTGATGGGAGGTGGTGGGATCTGAAGATGAGCCACAAAATAAGAGTGGTGAAGAAGACGGAAAGTACCAACACAGTCTAACGGCAGTCTGTGAAATAAACAAAATGATATCTATTGGTTTCGTGTACAGGGACATGAATTGTCCGTTTTTATCGTAACACATTAAATTAAAAAGGAAAGTACGTTTTAGTTGTTTAAGGACAAACATCATGGTTAAAATAACTACGTACAAACCGCTTGATTTAGGCAAAACCACGACCATAAAACCACAACATGGTGTCGAACACGGTCTTCTGGCTGAGAGTCCTGTTTGTTGGACCCGTCCACCTCCCCTTCCGCCCACCAAAAGTCGTCTTTTGGGATACTAAAAAGTACGTCTCTTGCTCTGACTGTTGCTCATTTAATCTGTGTGTCCACCACGGATAAGGATCCTAATTGATTTTCCATTGGCATCATTTTCGTCGTGAGCGACATGAAAAAAACAGACAATTAGTACAAGAAACAATAGATTGCATTTTGTGACTATTTCACGAACTGCCATGATATTGGGCTGAAAGTACAGTGGAAGCGAGTTGTGTGGAAGAGAGGAAAATGTTGGACGGACAAAAGTCTGTGTTTGAGATAAAGTGTGCGTATGTATGTATACGAGGAAAATAGCAAATCAAAGAAGGACAACCAGGAAAAAGAGAGTTTGGATGAGACACAAAAGCTACAGACAGAAAAGTGTAGCGTGAGATAAACTCTGCTCAGCATTTCCAGGACCTTCCAGGACATTTTCAAGACTCCGACAACACCGCGGCTCTGGAACTGAAAGCTGAGACACACAGCTCTCACCTCCACCAAACAAAAGACTCCTAATTGGACGACTCGGTGGCTCAGCGGTTGACTTATGTCACCTCAGCGTAAAGAAACAGAGGTGTGACCTCCTGAAGTTTCTCTGTTTGAAGTGGTCAGGTTCAAACTCTTTGACAAATCGTCCTCTAGTTCGGTTCATTTATCCAGGTGAGCTGGAGGAAGTTTGACTTGTTTCAGTCCTCTAACAAGAAGAGTGTGGAGATATCTAAAAAAACTAAACGTGTTTAAGGCAGGGGTGTTAAACATACGGCCCGAGGGCCAAAACCAGCCCGCCAAAGGATCCGATCAGGCCCACTGGAGGACTTTGTTCGGTGTGTTCACAGCACCTTTCAGTGCTCAAGGTATCAGACTGAACATGGAGAAAAATACAGAGGATGTATGAATTGTTGACAGGTTTGCGAGACGTCTAAGGGTGTTTTGTAAATGGATTGTTCATTAGTTGTGAACATGTCAGAATGTACTTGTACTTCTTAACGAATAGTTTTTTATACAATGGTTTTATTTTGGCCCACTTGAGAAGAAATAAGGTATTTACTAATATGATATTAGGAATTTGTCGCCACTTAAAATTTACAGCTCAGATAGATAGATAGATAGACTTTCAGAGAACTCAAGCCATCAACTTTGCTCACATTGAAAACTACCAGACTCCATTGGGGGGAAAAAACAGTTATTTTGTTAAGTATGTGACTTTGGTGAATCCAAACTAAACAATAACATAAAGAAACTAACCGATGAAGGCATCAGTAGACCAGAAACCAGCATGTTCTGGAAAGTTAAATTACAGGTTTTTTTCCAACAGAGTCTGGTGGCTTTGAAGAACCTCAGATGGATCAATGACGTCCAAACTCTCCACGACAGTTTGTCTCAACTGCCTCTGAAAGGTAAGTGGATGATAAACTGTGAATCGTTTTGTCAAAGTGTTAAACTACAATTTCCAAAGTCAGGAATTACATTTTGATGAAGTCGACACAGATCAGAAGAGCCAAGAGTGTTCTGGATGAATCGTCACGGAGACATGCGTTATCATCTATCAAGGATTTTGACCTTTATACGTCAACACAATAAATAATTCAGCATGAACACCACACAACAGAGGATACAGCAGCAACAAGAACAAAGTTCTGTTAAAGTCAAGAAACAAGGCAGATTAAAGAACCCAGTGATTAGTAGTTAAATAGTTAAAAGGGAACATTTGTGTAGCAGCTTGAGCCTGATAAAAAAACTAAATACTCCAGCTACAGCACACTGCTTGGACTATAAAAAACAGTTCATTCAAAGTACTCGGGCTACAGTTTAAAGCTGTCATTTCAATACTATATTTGTAATCTGACATGTCCCTCGTGGCTCTATTTATCTAAATATGTCTCTGTGTGATGAGGACGGGGAGCAGATGAAGAGCTTTATTCCCTCATATTTATTAGTTGATGGAGCAGCCTGGGGGGGGGGGGGGGACCGGGCGCTGTCAAAGTGAGGCTCTCGTCAAGTGGAGAGAGAGAGTCTTCTCTGAGGAAGATATATCTAAATGATCACCATCATCATCATCGGTTGGTCTCATCGTCGTGTGACATCAGCAGCTTCTTCTTCTTTTCACCACACTGTTGCTAAGCGCTCATCACCGCCGTGTTAGTGCACATCACCTGTACGTCACCCCGTGTGGGCGGTCTGTGACGTCTACTCAGATCTCTGGTCTCTTTCTTTTTGTTCTTGTTTTAACTACTAAATCAAACCGACGTTTTCGGTGAAAGCAGACGTGCATCACTTCCTGTTTGAAGAACGTTTTCTACTTGTTTAGAAAAGCAAATGATGTGTTAAACCAGAAGTGCAGCAACGTTAATCTGTGACAGAACAGAATAATGCAGCATTGTATTCATTACATTATATTACAAGGTATGTTTCTATAAGCTGTACTTATGTAAATGGTAATAAACACCAAATTAAAAATGTTTATATTGATTGATTTATTTATCTATTCTGAAGGACATCCCATAATCAGATGCACTCTTCTGTAGCTCTTCTTCTGCGTGGCATTTTGTTGTAGCTGCTCACTTAATTTATCATTTACATTAGTTTAAGATTAGATTTTTGTCTGCTGTTTCAGGCTGTTTTCATCCAGCGCTCGTAGCTGTACCTACGAACAATAATGCACCGTAATCTGTAAATATTCCACAAGATCATTTCGTATGTTATCCATGAACGGGGAAGTCAAATACAGCCCACAAAGGCCAACGTTCCCCGTGTGAAACGAGAACTCAACGTTGATTTATTTCTCACATAACATCACATCTGTAGTTATTTTAGCCCAAACAACAATCTTTTCCTGAACCTACCTAAGTAGTGTTGTTGCCTAAACAAGTTGTTTCCTGTGGAAACGGAAGTTTATTTTGAAAATACTGCATGCAACGAGCAGAAACTGACTCTTGTTGCTTGACATGCAGGAAAAATAATGACAGTAAAAATAAGTAATTTTTCGTAAGATGCCATACGCGGATACGTTGGCTGTTTACAAACGTGTTTTAATTCCCCTTCTATTTACTTCTAATATTTCTCCACCCAAGGAATGTGGCAACTTTGGGAAATGTGTGTTTGTCTTTAGCTTTCTGAAGGTCTGATGATAAACCGGATCCTGATGTCACCAGAAGAGGAAACGGTTTCTGTTGTGTAAAAACAGAAAGACACAAATAACCTGACAGCCGTCTGAAAACCTCTTTCTTTGATCCTTTCCAGGTGATGTCAAGGATCTCAATGAGGGATGTTTCACCAGGATTCACTTCCCCATCCTCCAGTCATTACTTCCTCCTAAAGGGGCGAAATGAGACGAGCAGCCCTGGATGATGAAACAATTCTGTGACAGGATGAAAACTACACGTTTACAAATGGGGTGATGGGGTCAAAGAAAGCATGATCGTTTTAATTCCGATGATAACGGAGCCGTGTCTTACAGGAAATCAGGAGAGACCAGAGGCCGCATTCCTCCGTGTCATGTTTATTTCCCTTCAGGTTTTGGGAGGAGTTTAGGATGATTTGTCAGAGCGAATGAGTGAGCAGGACAGAAATCTGTCAGTCCAGGAGGTGAGACGGAGGAGACAGAGTGTCACCGCCCGAAGCCCAGAAGATATCAATCAAGACGCTCCTACATGAAGAGACAAGCAGCACACACACAAACACTCTCAGTACAGTAGCACGCACACACTGAAGCTCACACTACCAGCTCTCCAGTCTACTTAATCTAGTCTGAACTGGGCGGAAAGATCCTATTTGCCTTTTTATCGAAGGTTAAGTGAGGAGATTTATATTCATCTTTTTGAAGGTAGAAGGGAAGCCACAGAAAACAGCATCCAGTAATTAAAAAAATGTTTCACATTTAAACGTTTATGTTAACTTGTTGACTTGGATCTGTTGAGATGTAGTAACGGGAATGAAGACGGACTGGATGTCTGAGACGCTGTGTGCATTAACTCTCAAATAATCTGAATCTATCACTTATCAAGCAAAAATGCAAAAAGAAAAGAAAACAAAAATCTCTTCTTCTGGCTCCTAAAATGTGAGGATTTGTCGCTCTCAGTTTAATACTGAATACTTTGACTCGGGCTGACGTACCTGTTGAATTTAAATGCAGCAGATATAGAAACACTGTTAGTAACATGGGAGAACACCCATAAATACTGTAATAGTTGTTTAGTCGTGTTGCGTTTTCTGATCTAGAAACACTAAATCGTCTATAAATGTGTAAATAATGGAAAAAATTCACAAGGCTTATATGTATCAAATACTTTTCATTTAACTATAATACTGTGCCGACTTTCAATATTATGGGGTTATGTGTAAATCTGTTGTCAAAGCTTTTGCTTTGCATTCACACAAGAAACTAAAAACTCCGGAGTTTGATTGACAACTTTCACACCTAATGAAGCAGGAGATTATTTGGAATTTAGACGTGAGCACATTACGATAAACAGTGTGTGACTTCATGTTTGGTTTTAGTTTATTTTAAGTAGATGGAGCTGCCCACATCAAACCTTTTTTTATTGTAGATAAAAAAACCTGAACACAACATTTGTTACGCAAACAAACAAAAATATAAACAGAGTAAAAACAAGGCGTTTGGAGGAGCCACCTCCATCACGACGCGTAGAGCTCAGTCCATTTGCTGCTCAGTGAGCCAAGTCGGTGTCCAGGCTGCATCACAACACACCAACAGGACACCGCGCTCCGCCAGCCAAAACGCTCAGAGAGCCAGTCAGCCGTATCACAGTCCAAACACCTCCCAAAAAATATGAAAAGCTCCTCTATAAATCTGTTTTGACAAGTTGTAATTGTGCACCAAGCTCTGTCTGGGTGAGAAAAACATTCTGCCTGATTGTCTCCACAGAGGTATCGAGTGAAAGAATGTGCAGAGGCGTCCCGGCGTTCGTCACAGTCCAGCCTCTACTTCTCATTAGGTCAACTTAAGAGACTACTTATTGTTTTAGAGCTGCAGGTGTGTGTGTGTGTGTGTGTGTGTGTGTGTGTGTGTGTGTGTGTGTGTGTGTGTGTGTGTGTGTGTGTCTGGGTTTGGGGGGGGATGTCTGTGGCCACCTAAACCACAAACACCAGGAAGTAATGTTACATTACAGACGGTAGGGAGCTTTAAAATCTATTGATAGAATCAGGAAAACAATTCAGCAATAACATGCACCAGTGTGCAGACCCTCGAGAATGTCACGAAACTGTCTTTTAAAAGCTCGAAAAAAAGAGAACTTTCTCCTCCTCACAGTGCCGATATGAACACTGAAGTAAGATATTCTGCCTTAATGTACTTTTCTGCATGTTTTTGTAATTGTCTTTTAGAACGCTATCGATGACGACAGCTAAAGGCTTTTCTGTATGTATGCAAACTGACTCCTGCAGAAGAACCAAGAACAATACTGAGCCACAAGCGGCTGGTAAACAGATGCTTTTTAGGTGAGGAGGAACATGTGAGAGCCAGTTGTGCTCACCGCTGGGCTAACGTTGACCGTGGAACAGCAGTCAATATTTGTGGAAAGTGATTGTTGTACGCTGGGTCACACGGTCGCAGTCAGATATGGACAAATGAAATGTGGAACAGAGTGGAGGTTTTAAAGATCAGCTAACCCACTTTAAAGCCCCGCTAGGTTTGGATATTTCCTGAGGCGGACGAGGTCTCACAGGAACACACGTGATGGAGAAAGTGGTCCGACGGTCTGACTGCTCCACACACTTTTTCTGCTCCGCCGCAAATTACAAGAGCAGAAATTAAAAGAAAATTATAATAAAAATAGGAGTGATTGCCTCCTTTAGAGGCTTTTCATTGTGGGAACGATTGAGGTTCAGAAATGAAGGAGCGGGAAGAAATTCACTGGAGATAATTATGGAAAATGGGCTGTGAATCACACACACACACACACACACACACACACACACACACACACACACACACACACACACACACACACACACACAAAATAGATGAAACTGATATTAACTATTTATGGCTGAGCTCCAATTGTGAAATTCATCACTGGTAATGTTTTTAGTATTTAGTCGTCTTTTCCACTAAAGGCATGCTGACAACTCAGCACACTTGCAAACAAGTGCAAATAAATGTGTTTTAATATTCTGGTACACACACACACACACACACACAGACACACACACCTGCAAATATAGACCTGTAAAAAAAAAAAAACACAGATACGAGAAGTCAATGTTGATGTTTTTGTCACGTAACCTGCATACTTCAATAACAGCAGTTCTGTAGTTATTTTAACCCAAAACACAATCTTTTCCTAAACGTAACTCAGTATTTCACAATCTTTTCCGAATTCTAAATGAATTTTCCTGTGAAGACGGAAGGTTTATTTTGAAAAGACTATTTATGTAGGAGCGGAAATTGACAGGTGTTGCTTGACTTTTGTCGGGAAGTCCAGCAAGGAGTAACTTTTTGCATGATGTCATACGAACCGTTGCATGAGGATACGATGATTTTTCGCACGTTGTCCAATAATGTCCAGCAACACGAGCGATCAGAGCGCCTGCAGGGCAGAAACCTGTTCAGGCAACAGAACTACTTTAGAAAAAGATTGTGGTTTAGGTTTCAAACAACTACGTTTGCAACATAACTTACGTAGTCAAATACCTCCAAAGTAAGGTCAAATAGGTGACCATTGACTTTTGGTTTCACACGGGACACAAACAGCTGTCTCCAGGGTGAAAGTCCTTCAGAGCAGAGTGTGTTACTTTGATGAGTCCTTGACGGTCCGTCAGTCGGCCCCCAGTCGGCCCCGCACAGAGCGCGAGCATCAGATGACGCCTGCTGCAGACATTGATCGACCTTCCAGCTCCCGGTTACATCTGACTTTAGCTCGGGGAGGATCGGAGGTCGCCGGTTAGCAGACATGTG